CGACCTTCTTGCTGTGAGGCGACAGCACTACCTACTGCACCACTGCATCGTCTGGGCTATTTATTATTTATATTTATTAGTGGAGGAAGGGTAAAGTGTACAGATGGGCAGGACATGGAGGACATAGAGTTCGGTGTCAAAGGGTATGGTGACCGTGCGAAGGGAAGTGCCAGTCAGGGTGCCCAGTAGAAGAGGAGTGTTTGCAATCTTGCCATCATCATGCTTACCGTCTCCCACGACGGCATCTGTTAAATACTCCTCTTCCAACGAGCAGCAGCTGTCTTTGATCAGCATGCGAGGAATGCTGATTGCAGTGTGGCAGGTCTGCCCCATCCTTCAAAAGTTTCAAATGATGTTGTTATTAAAACCGTAAATCTATGGATTGCTATTAATATTGTGAAATAATAATAGTAATATTATCAAAAAAATGTTTATATTTATACTGTATAGTTTTTGAAAGCTTGATTCTGATTGGCTGATGAACATTATAAAAATTCATACAAAATGACTTTTCCATTCCAACTCGCTGATTTTCAAATCGTCAAATTAAGTCAAGTCAAGTCGTTAAGTCAAGTCAAATCAAATCAGGTCAAATAAAGTCAGGTCAAGTCAAGTCAAAATAAGTCAAGTCAACTTAAGTCGTCAAATCAAGACAAATCAAGTCGAATCAAATCAAATCAAATCAAATCAAGTCAAGTCAAGTCAAGTCAAGTCAATTGAAATGTTGTGTCTTACAGGACTATGGTGCTACATTGATAAACATCATTAATATGAATACAACACTGGATGTTAGAGCTGTTTTAAACCTATACATGACTAACATATCGGAGCGGTATTCTAAGTATACTAACTACTTTATATAGTTTGTCCATGTAAATGCGCTTGACTGATTGTCCATGAGCATTACACACTTTTCTCAAGTTTTTAGAGCACCAGGTTTAGAGCCACTGTTTACTGTAGCAAGTCCGCATGAACCGAAAGCTGCAACCATTTTCTTTTTTTTTTTTGTATTGTGATGCAGTTCCTAGAGAAACGGAGTATTAAATGAGAAAGCAGTGGGCGTGGTTTGTTTTTTTACTGCAAGCTGATTGGATGTAGTAAAGTAGGCATTTTATTTAGAAAGATCGGGAAAATGGTTTTAAGAGAGTTATTACAACCTAACAGACACCTCCTCCGCCTCACCATTTCGGTTTGTTGTCCAATCTGACAGTTAGAGGGGAATGATAATGATCATTTTTAGATTTAAACTTTTTTGCGGGTGCTCCGGTTTCCCCCCACAAGTCCAAAGTCATGTGGTATAGGTGAATTAGGTAAGCTAACACTGGCCATGGTGTATATGTGTGAATGAGTGTGTATGGGTGTATGCTTGATAAGTTGGCGGTTCATTCTGCTGTGGCGAGCCCAGATTAATGAAGGGACTTAGCCAAAAAGAAAATGAATGAATAAATGAATGAATGACTGTGCAATAATGTGCAAAAGAAACTCAATATTGGTTCCAGGCATGCAGGCTTCGACCACATTACAGATTCATATCACTACGCTGAATGATTTTAGTTATTTCATAGCCTACAGATATCAGTAATCAAATGAAAACTAAATAAAGCAGGTTTTGGATGAAATGCTTAAGAAACTGCACAGTATTTGATTTGATTTATTTATTTTTTGAACAGAAATATCATACATAAAATATCATTAACAAAAAATGGTGTGGGATGAAGCACAACCTTATTATTTTCCCACCCCATTACCACATACATAATTCGTCTGTTACTTAAACAGTGGTTTCTTCTTTTACTTATCTCATCTTTTTACACAAAACATATTTTATCTTTTTGACATCATTGACAAATTATATGTTTGATTCCATTTGTACTTTTACATTTTGTAAGATAGACCAAAAAAAAAAAAAACATAGTACTGAAAATAGCCATTAATTAAAATTCCATCAAACCTTTGTCATTTAATCATTTTTCAATCACCTTCATCGCGATATTCCTTAAATAATAAATATTTATACAACTTTTTAAATTGATTATTATCCTGTCATTGTTTGAGAGTCTGATCTAGACTTTTTCATAATTTCACACCATAGACAGACATACACAAACTTTTTAAAGTTGTCCTTGTTTTCAACCTCCTAAAATGTAGTTCTTCTCTCAGATTATATCCCCCTTGTCTTTCTTCAAAAAAACGTTTGTATGCATTTCGGAAGTAATTTATTCCTAGCTTTAAACTTAAATTGTGCTGTTTTAAATTTAATTAAACCATTAAACTTAAGAATCTTTAATTAAAAAAAAATTTGTTCAATCAGTCTGATTACTTTTTTCTGCATTGTACATACGGATCGTAAATTCGATTTATATGTATTCCCCCAAATTTTAACACAACAACTCATCTATGACAACATAAGTGTGTAATATAATACATTGATTTACTGTCCAGGATAAACCTTGCTTTACACACTATTGCTACAGTTTTGACTAATTTTGATATCACGTTATTTATTTCCAATACAACACCAAGAAACTTAATTGCATATACTCTTTCTATAACTTCATTATCAATTTTTAAATCTTCATTATGACTTCTTTTTATCTTTCCAACTGCACTGTAAAAAAATATAATTGACATTTGACAAATATATTGACAAATATTTAACAATATTATTGTATTTTTAATTTAATAAATGCAAAATGGTGAGTGTAAGAAGCTTGTATTTTGGTAAGGAGCTATGTTTTATTTCGCTACGACATATATTGCGATGTAAATATAATATCACCAGATGATTTGAATAGCTCTATTTGGAAAGATTTAATTAATTAAGATCGACAGGGATGGTCAAGTCAGAGATGATCAAGTGCATCTGCATAAAATGTAATAAAGAACAAGTATATATACTAAAAATACAACAGAGCAAAAATAAAAGCAAAATAAACAGTGCTTTATCTTTTTTTGGGGGAGTATAACTACTCGAGTACGAAAATGTAACAGTCAAACATAAAATAACATGTCCATCATTGTATAAAAAATTTAATTTATTTTAATAAATATTTTTTAATCTTTAATAAACTGTCTAATCCTGCAATGTGACTATTGCGGATTCACACAGTATTGCGATATCAATGCTCAAACGATATTGGTGATGTTCATCCACAGCTCACAGCTTCTAGATGAAAAACTATTGATGTGATTTAAAGATTGAGTGACGGCAAGCAGAGTGAAGCTTTTGGCATTTCACTTTTCAAAGTGCTGATTGTTGCTGCTATTTTCAAAGCGCTGACAGGGGTATTGAGTCCCCTGCTTGACCGTACTGCGGAGAAAAATATGATCTTTAATGCAGTGCTCTGAAATGCAATTTTGTTTTTACGTTTGATTTCAGGGAGTCATTTCGACACATGGCTATTGGTGAATATTAGCATAGCTGTTAGATTTTCTTTTAGGATTTAGTCTTTAAAGCAGCTTTCTAAGAATCAAAAATATTGTTCATACATATCCAGTTTCCCCCACAAGTCCAAAGACATGCGCTATAGGTGAATTGGAGGAGTGTGTGGGTGTTTCCCAGTGATAGGTTGCAGCTGGAAGGGCACTTGCTTGCGTAAAACATATGCTGGATGAGTTGTCAGCTCATTCCCCTGCGACAAGAGCCGAAAAGAAAATGAATATATATATGAATAAAGATATAATCAAATCAAATATTAAATACATATTAAAAATAACCAAATAGTTATTTTAGATATAATATATACATTTATTATTATTATTATTATTATTATTATTATTATTATTATTATTATTATTATTATTATTATTATTATTTTATTGTTATTATTATTATTATTATTATTTTGTAAAATATAAATGTATGTAAAATGTTCAAATAATAATAATAATAATAATAAGTATAAAATCATATGTTTTAAATGTATATATATTGTATAAAAATAATAATGTACAGTTTTTTATTTAATTAACATTATGATTCTTTTTGATTTGTTTTACGATTTGTTTATTTATTAATAGATTTTTATATCATGTATATCATGTGATCATATTATGATATGTATATACATATATCATGATATCATATATCATGTGACTCGATAGATTTGTTTTTATATTATGTGGCTTTTTATATCATGTGACATCAGGAAAACACGTGAATGCATTATAAAGTTATTAAAATAATAACCTAAACATTATGGGAGTATTTCGTTACGTAATTTAAATCAAATGAGAGATTTGTGAGGAATGTGCTGTGTTTGTTCTTGTCATTTTTCTGATGATTGATACAATAACTGACACGAGCTTCTTCCTTTACTGATTTAAATGCGTTTTGTGCTCGCGATTTCCTGCTATTTGTCTTTGCTATGGCCACCATCAGCTGTCAATTGGTCAATTTTCAAATTAGTTCAACTTATGCCACTGTGTAGATTAATACTGAATGTGTGTCGCTGGTATTACTTGGCGATAGGGTTAAGAATAGAGTATATGCTGGTGTTTAACTGCATTGCTTTAATTCATTTCTGCATTGGGCTCACACACATACTCTTTGCTCTGACTACTTCATAACCGTGCTGGGCGTTTCTCTCCATCTCACACTGAATGCAGATGACCAATCATAACAGACTGGGTCATCAGACCAATCAGCACAGATTAGCATCAATCAAAGGAGGGGTTTGGGAACAAATGAATCAATGAACAAATCATATGGGAGTCATTGGGATAATTAGGTAAAAAAATAAATGCATATTATAAGACAATGACATTTTTTTTTGACCTTGCATGCATATCAGCCTGTTGTCGAAGACCCCCAAAACCAAAATATGACCTTTTTATAATGCATAATAGCAGCTCTTTAATGTTCAATCCACTCAAATTGGTAAAAACTAATAAGTTAACCTAATTCCTTCATGTTGTCCCAACTCAAATTGATTGTGTAGAACCTATCACTTTTTTACAGTGTAATATTTTTACACTATTGTTTGTTTGTTTGTCTCCAGTTTTCAGGACTCTACCTGCTGTCCTTCTTCATCATCGTCCTGGGTCTGGTCCTCTACTCCTCCTCCTCCACCTACGTGGCACAGGATCCTCGCGTGTATAAGCAGTTCCGCAACACGGGAAACGCCCTCACAGACACGCCCACGTCCGGCCACCTGGAGCCCTCAGTGACCTATACCAGCCTGGGCCAGGAAATAGAGGAGGAGCCTCGCATACGAGTCGCCTGAAGGGGACGTGGCCTCGCAGATCAATCATCCACTGCCCCGCCCAGCAGTCTGTAGAAAAGCGAATGATATCGATCACCGAATGATGTAATCAACCACGTAGCAAACGAGTACACTGTGATCACGAACTGTCAGTAGGTAGCAGTGACTTCTGAGTTATCAGATCCATCATGTATAGAGATGACTTCACCTCATTGCCTCTTTTCCCCGCGGCAATTTAAAGGGACAGTTCATCTAAAAACTTGAATTTACTCAACAGTTTCAAGTGGTGTATGTTTGGAAGAATTAGAATTAGATCGTACAAATTCATTTGAATTTGCCACTAAATCAAGAAGTTGCCAATTGCCGTGAGGCTGTGTTGTAATAACTGGGATAACCTGCATTTAAATTATATATACTGTATGTAACATCTCACTCTTCACTTTGTATTCAGTCATTCATTTTCCTTTAGCTTAGTCCCTTTATTCATCAGGGGTTGCCACAGCGGAATGAACCGCCAACTTATCCAGCATATGTTTTACCCAGATGATAGCCTTCCAGCTACAACCTAACACTAGTAAACATCCACACACAATCTCATCCACACTTATACACTATGGCCAATTTTGTTTATTCAGTTCACCTGTAGCGCACGTCTTTGGACTTGGAGAAACCGGAGCACTACAGAGGATACCCTTGCGAACACAGGGAGAACATGTAAACTCTACACAGAAACACCAACTGACCCAGCTGGGGCTCGAACCAGCAACCTTCTTCCTTTGAGGCGACAGTGCTAACCACTGAGCCACCACACCGCCCACACTTTGTATTTAAAACTTACAATTATTTACTTGCTTGTTTTTATTTTCACATTTTTTTTACTGTTTCCTCCCCTAAGATATGTGATTATAGCTTAATAAACACTTTTGAAAATATTGACAAAATAAATTTTGATTAAAAATTGTAACTTTATTTAACTAAAGAAATATTCATATATTCTTTCAGTATTTTAATGGATAATTCTGAAAAATTTTCCATATTTGGGAAGTCAATGGTGTCCATTATTCTTCAAAATATTTTGTGTTCAATAGTAATAATAATAATAAATACTCAAACAGTTGTGGAGCAAGTAAATAAGGATCAAAAGAAATGTTGTTTTTAGGGTGAACTGTCCCTTTAAGTGTGTAGAAGGATTTGTGCTGACTGTTTTTGTCTAAACGCTCAGTTGTGGATGTTTTATCTTCTTATACGAGCACAAAGGGTTCATTGTATTTGAACATGGTTTGTCTAACAGTTTCATGGGTTATTTTTGCTTTATGTTTTAATTCTATCTGACAATGTCTCTGGAAAAAACTGCATTCTGAGTTTTAAATGCTGATTTGAGCCAGTGCCTTGCCATGTTACATTACATTCGCTGATGAGAAATCATGACTTTAGAGGAATAGTTCAATCCAAGAATGAAAAGTTGCTGTTAATTCACTCTTAAGCCATGCAAGATCAGGTGACTTTTTTCTTTAGTACAACATTAAAGAAGATTTATTTAAACTGGATTTATTTAAATTGGTCCTTGGTTAAATAAAATGCAAGTCAACGGCTGCTGGGATTTAAAAAAAGTAAAAAAAAAAAAACATATACAGGCATATACAGCATTAATACCCGTGGCAAACTTTAGATTTTCAAAAACTCAACAATACACTCTTGGCAAATTGACTACCCTTTCGTTATGTTCGTGGCAGTTTTTGCCCCATTGACTTCCATTATAATGACATCTTTTGATTGCAAAGCCTTGACACCATATTATTATGTATTCTTGATTGTTTGTGGTTTTCCCTGTTGGAAAGAAGTCAAATTTGTCATGTTTGCCAGTGGGTCCAAAACAGCCACTAACGTAACGAAATATGAGCAATACACAAGAGTTAGGTTTAAATCAGTGTTCTGTTTAGACTAATTTAGAATCATTAATTTCTTTGAATGTTGTAAATAACGTTCAGTATCTTGTATTCACCTTATTCTCTGCCGACGAGCGGGCGCTGCCATTTGAATCTTTTTGGCTTGAGACTTCCGGTCTCATTCACTTCCATTCATTTTTTGACGTTAAAAACTGCTTGTTACGCTGCTTGATGTTGCAATTTGATATTTTCTTATTATATTATTCTACTTGGTCTGTATAGTCATGCAAACATTCGTTTGTAGAGCAAGTAGTTTGACTGTTTTCTACCGTTTATTATTCCTAGTCATTTCTCCCATAGGCGACTGAATCGGAAGTTCTAAGACAATCGCGAAAACAGGCGCACTTCCGCATTTTAGAATAAGGCCAACAGAACAAATAGTTGTCCTTAAGAAGACCTCAATGTAATGTCAGGGGGTCAGTTGGCATTTCTGTGTAAGGTTTGCATGTTCTCCCCATGTTGGCGTGGGCTTCCTACGGGTGCTCCGGTTTCCCCACAAGTCTAAAGACCTGTGCTATAGGTGATTTGGATGAGCTAAATTGTCCATAGTGTATGAGTGTGTATGGATGTTTCCCAGGGTTGCAGCTGGAAGGGCATCTGCTGCATAAAACAAATGCTGGATAAGTTGGCGGTTCATTCCACTGTGGCAACCCCCGGATTAATAAAGGGACTAAGCCGAAAAGAAAATGAATGAAAGAATGAATGTAATGTCAGGAGCCTTAGATATTACCTTTGTTTTTTAATACCGTCAAAATAGTGGCAGCCGATGAATTGCATTTTATAATTTTTACTTTCAGCTAAAAATCTTCTTTAAAGTTCTACTGAATGAAAAAGACACCAAAACTGTATATGGACAGAAAGTGAGTAAATTTAGGAGTTGTTTTTTTAATTCTGGGTGAACTGTCCCTTTAAAAATACAGCGCCATCAGTATTGGATCTCATGTCCTGAGTGCATATTGTATTATTTGCTCAAAATAATAAGTATTTTCATACATCAGCCATAACTGAAAAAGGGTAAACAAAGATTGATCTCCACCCGTCTTTAACTGTTATACATTATTCAATTTTTATATATATATATATTTGTTATGTTGTTTATTTTGTTTCAATTTAGCCAAGGGTACATGCATTTGTATTAAATATAAAAGTCTGTGTAATAGCAATTGATTGTAAACTTGTAAAGTATTTTGCTGCACTTGCTTTTGTTTTATAAACGGTTCAGTCTTCATTATCATATTATTTGGATAAAATCCAGTACAATACATGTGTAAATTTATTCTGAACTGACTTTTTTTCTTCTTTAAGTTGTCATTTAAATATAAAAAATTCTTAATGTGTCTGACTTGCTCAAAATAAAGTATATTTGTCTTAAACTCCAAAAACATGAGACAATTATTTGACCTTGCAAAACTAGCTAAGAACGCATTTGATTTTGGCATCATGGATTATACACTCTGGCCACTTTATTAGGTACACCTTACTAGTACTGGTTTGAAACCCCTTTGTCTTCGGAACAGCCTTAATCCTTTGTGGCATAGATTCAACAAGGTACTAGTAGTATTCCTTAGATATTTTGTTCGATATTGACATGATAGCATCATGCAGTTGCTGCAGATTTGTCGGCTGCACATCCATGATGCAAATCTCCTGTTCCAGCACATCCCAAAAGTGCTCTGTTGGATTGAAGTCTGGTGATTGTGAAGGCCATTTGAGTACAGTGAACTCATTTTCATGCTGTGGGTTTATTTTATTAAAATTTTGGGTTTTCACAAAAAAAAAAAAACTCTGAGAAACTGAAGGAAATGCAAAAAGTGTTGTAACTGTCCTCACTCTCCCCTAAATCATTCTGTTTACTTATACTGTTTACAAATGACTGTTGTGCAGCCTTTTACAATAAAGTTTAGAGTTAAGTTTAGATATTTATTTCAATATTTTTATTTATTATCCTTTTATTAGCACTCATACAAACAAAATAAATACAACAACAGAAATACAATACCTTGAGGAACTAAATTAGCATTACAAATACAGAGCAAAAAGGATATGTATTTTACCCTTGCTGTGGGGAAATAAAGCGTTTATCTTCTGAATATTTATTAGGTAATAATCGAAGAAGGCCGTGATTGGCTATGAAACGCTTGCTTCATAATTGCGAATTAGATCAAGCAGGTAAGTTCCAAGCAACCTCAGCATGATTTTATTTATATTCATGAGCTACTAATAAGTGTTGCCAGATTGGGCGGTTTTGAATTTCATTGTAAAAATAGCTTAGATGGGTTGACAAATATTGAGGAGGTTAGGGATTAGTTTGTTGTAACTTTTAAGAATTTGTAGTCTGGCTGAGCTGTTTCATACATGCTCAGCTGCTTTTTAGCATCCTCTACATCTAAAGGTAGACCTAACATCTTTTGCAAAAATCTTTTTCTCACACACACATTTATCAGGGTCAAAATATAACATTAATAATAATGATAATGATAAATTGATGATGATAATAACAAGCTAGCTAAATTAAATAGAGAAAAATCATTTAAATAGAAATAAATTAAAATAAAGTATATTTATAAGATATTAGGAAATCATGTCTAAACAGTTTAAATCTACACAATAATGAGGTGTAACCTACACAAATAAATGCAGTAAGGGTTCTGTGACTGTTTATTGTAAAATTGTAGCATATAAATTTAGATTAAAATAAATTTAAAAATACAAATCAAATATTTTTGGCTGTTTTTGTGAGTTTGAGCGGTGTTTGGAGAGTTTTATTTATTTATTTTATTTAAGGAACAGCATTAACATTTCACAATAAAAAATATACATGCCAGGGGGTAAGTATAAATAAAATACAAATATGCAAAAAGTACATATATTATAAATACTGTAAATATTTTACAGCATTCACAAATGTTTAACATGCGTAGGGCTTTCTTATTTAGAAAGTCTCTGATGCTGGTAACATACAAGCATATTTTAGTCACCAATTCCTTTAAGTTAGGTTTCATTCATTCATTCATTTTCCTTTGGCTTAGTGCATTTATTTATCAGGGTCACAACAGCGGAATGAAAATATGTATGCAAATCCAATTCGGAAATTCAAAACACAATTCGTCAATTTAAAACACAACTCATACATATGCAAATCCGATTCATAAGTTCAAAACATTCATTAATTTTCCTTCTGCTAAGTCCCTTTATTCATCATGGATCACCACAGCGGGTTGAACTGCCAACTTATCCAGCATATGTTTTACACTGTGGATGCCCTTCCAGCTGCATGTATTATTTTTGAGACTGATCTGGCTCCATAGAGTAACATCTAAATTCCGATTAAAATAAAATTAAAAAAATACTAATCAAATATTTTGTGCGTTTGGTTAGGTTTTGGGCTGGAAACATTCAAGTGTATCTGGCAACACTGCTACTAATATACATGAGCGACTCCTTAGGGATTCACCACTCTTTGAAATACGTGGGAAGAAATGTTGATATATAAGTCTAACTTTGTTAGTTCGTTAAGGTTAATTAACTTTTTATGCACA